TTTTTAAAAAAAGTACTGGAAAAATCACAAAGATCAACCATTGTTAAAGTTTTGAATAAAAATAAATATACTGGGTAATTTGCTACGACAAAAACTCTCATTTTTTAATAACTTTCCAAACAGAGCAATCTGTATTAAAAATATAAAAAATATGTAATCTTTTCAGCAAATGAATGTAAAATAAAATGCTGAAAAATTTTATTTACTCCAAAACTATAAAAGTTTTCCCTTATAGCATGTATTCAAACTCTTTCTTTATATTTCAAAAAAGTGTGGGTAAAAATGTTTTTATTTTTACTATGTTATGACGTAAGAATATTGTGCTGCCCTCTATTTATCTAAGATTATTTATTAAGGAGTTTACAACTTTAATAAAGAATAAAACTTTATAATAATTTCCCGATATAATTTTTATTAAATTCTGTACCATTTAACATATACCAGCTAATATTTACCACGTTTCACTTAACTTGCTTTAATGTATGTTTGAGAGAAGAAAATCTTGCAATTGAACTTTGACAACTTGCTGACTAGCTAGAGAGCTCACATTTCAACTGAAGCTCTGTTATAAATGACAAAGCAATTTTAAATCGTTGCTTGAAATCTTCAAACAGAATTCGTCATGGAAAATTTAGCGCTCTCTCTCCAGCAAAAACAAACTAACAGATACAATAATACTGTGGTCAATACGGCCACAGATTTTTCTTGTTCAGTTTTTCACCTTTTTTCTCTCTCAGCTTCTGTGAGGATTTTTTAGTTTTGTTTTGTTATTTTTCCATTTTTCTTGTTAACTTTAGTTTTTATTTCAAATCAGTTTTGTTTCTTTATATTCAATTTTGGCTAGTCTTGAAAACGGGCTCCCATTTCTAAAGGACTTAAGGCATGTTGATTATTATTTCATATTTGCCTATTTCTGAAGCGAATGTAGGTTTCAGTGAGGTAATATTGCTCATACTTTTACTTTTAAAGCATGTTTCAATAAACCAAATTAATAAAAAATTCAAAAGCTACTGAATATAAAAATATAATAATTTTTGTACCAAAAGAAAAAACTTCTAAGGAAAATAGTTTGATTGTAATGAATCTTGATTGCCCTGAATTATCACCTCAACTAAGATGAACATTGCAAAATTTTTCTCTGTTGCATATCTTTCGATGCTGAAAGTATTGAGAACAGTTAATATTTAATTTGTTTAATTGAACTTCTCAATACTTGTTTTACTTAATAACCTAATTCGATCTAAAACGACCTCAAATAATGATAATTATGATTAATTTTACTTTTTTAATTTCGTTCGCCCTTTGATTTTGCGCATCATAGCATAGTGTTACCTGATGCCTATTATTAGCACAATGTTTGCTTTTTTTTACCTGGTATGAAAAGGAGTCTCTGTCAAGCATTTAATAACTAAATTTTCTTATTTTGGTTTATTTACTGTTAACGCAATTTCGCAGTCGGAAAAGTAGGTTTTCTATGAAAATATTATGACAAGTAAAGTTTATAACAGACACGATTTTTTCTTTTGTTTCTTGCAGTTTTTTTTTTTTTTTTTTCATTTTTTCTATTTCTCACTCTTTTTTTTTTGCTCTTTCTAATCTTCGAAATGGCCTACTTAAATTAGAGCAAGCGCCGAAACTTACCGAAAAGAAACCAGAGAAGAGGTTCTGAAAAAAAAACTTTCTTCTATATTTTGTTCTGCTACATTATTTCTTAAAACAGTCGACTATTGATTTAATTATCAACCATTTGAAGCAATTAATTTCAGCAAAACATTATAATTGCAATTTTATTTTAAAAAGGTTTTTAATAATTGCTCATGACGCTAACTATACAGCTACGCTCCATCGGTATAAATACATGACATTCTCACATGATAAACATGATAAATTGAAAAGTTTATCCGCCTGTCTCTTTTTTTTTAACTCCTAAACCCTTCGTGCCATCCTGAAATTTAGGCAGTGAATCAAAAGAGAAAATTTTGAACCCTGTAATGTAAATCTTTATAAAAATCCTAAACAATTTGATTTTAACATCATTTTAAAGAATGCAAATTTAAATGACAAAATTCAAAAGTTTAGATAAATCGATCGAATAGTTAAATCTAAGTTATTAGTTAAAAATTAGTAGTTATAGATTGAATTTTAAAAATACGACTTTTTCGAGCATCTATCATTATTACGAACCATAATTTCCTCAATTTTAAATAGAACTATAAAAATCCTAATAAAAATATTGAAATAATGTAAGAATTGAAACTCTTATCTTGAGCAAAAACTTGAATCCAAAAAAAATATTTCCTGTGTAGCAATTTTATGCAAAAAATATTACGGAAAAGAAAAATAAATTTAAGAATGTCTATTACGCATAAATAAGTAGCTTTTGTAGTCACTGTGCAGTATCAAAACATAGATAAAAATGTCATGGTTAAATTTATGGTACTTTAACTTGGGTACTGCAGAAAAATACGCGAATTTCCATGGTTTTGTCTAGTATATATCATATATTTATGATACCCACGAGACAAATAGTAAAAGGATATTTCGTATGCATTTTATTCAACTTTTGGTATAAAATGTACATGAAAAAGTTTGTTCATTCTTAAAGCTGATAAAAATCATTTTAGAGAACAAATCTGTTAGGATATCAAAAAGGTAAAGAACTGTAACAAACATTTCTAAAAATTCAGAAAATTGAATTTATTAAAATAACAAAACAATATCCATAAAAGATGAGAAAAATATGTAAATTAAGTTGGAATAATATCATTATTTTTTCCTTAAAATGGGAGAAGGATCCTCTTCCCTCGGCAAAGCATGTATCATTTTATTTAAATAATCAAAGAAAAATTGTTGAGAACTCGGAAGCACGAAAGTTTACAAAATAGTATCTTCTTCAAATGAATGAAGTTTACAACTAAATGAAGCATTTTATAACCCATTTATAGATTATAAAACTTCATTAAAATTCTATTTTTAACAAACAAGCTTTCAAAATTAATTTTCAAAAAAAATTATGGACTTTTTTATTTATTTTTATTTAAAATTATGAAACCATAAAGAAAACTTTATATATTTCAAAGTTCAGTTACATTAGTGTAACTACATGTTAAAATCTAGAATAACCATTTACCACTACGCGAACCGCTACCAGATGCTCAGAAAGGTAGTCCTAAGGTTCGAAAATGTATACATATAGAGACGGCAGCGATGCAAACTCCAGTGTTGTGGTCAACTGCACTGGAGTGAATGGTTGAAGTTTCATGACAGTACAACTCCAAGGAATTTGCTCCTGGATTCTTCATTAGGCTTATATCTGAGAAGTTTAGTGGCCAGGTAACATCATCCAGTTGCTCTTTGCAATGTAGACTGCAAGCCGCATAACTCATCGCATTGTTCTGCTGGTAGACGAGATCGCGCTGAAGAAAATCGATTGTCAGTAAGGGTAGATTTGGTCCGCAAAAACAGATACGTGTTTATTGTTAATCTATTGTAACTTGCACAAGAATGTTTGTTCTTAAAGAATTCCGTGAAAAGTTCCTTTGGCCATACTGCCTCTCCCTCGTCTAATTTGGTCTCTTCCTGTAATTGTTGCAGGATATTTGCTTTTGGAAATTATCAGCACTAACATTCAGTTGTAAAATGGAGCAAAAAATTTAATTTAACCAAAATTCCATCAAGTGGCATTTCAGTGGGTGACCAGTTACGATGCAAAATACAGTCTATGTCCGCAATGACCAGCATCCAGTTATAGGTAATATACCAAGTGTTCACTATGGAGTACCATGTAAAAAATTTAATGTTTATGCCATGAATGTTTGTGTACCATGCTATGTTATAACACGTAATGTTAAAGAAGGGATTAAAATTACATAATATTGCACCATGTTATAATTACAAGGTTAACAAACCATGTAATGTTTCTGATTGTCCCTTAGTTCATCTGGGTGGTCAGCCGATCACACAGAGCGACTATTTGCCCAAACGCATTTCCGCAGCAGTGTATGTTCACCTCTGTCACGCATTGTTGGTAGTGCAACACATTCGTCTGGTCAATGATTTTGAATAGAGCTATTATTCAATTTACGGCATACCTTTACTGTGGCCTACTACAGTTTACAAAGTTATCTCTTTCAAAAATACATCAACTCTTGACTCGAAAGCTACTGATCGTGCCTTTTTGGACGTCTATTTCTATTGTAACTTGCCGTTACAATAGAAATAGACGTATATTGTAACTTTTTACTCCGTTTCAGCACGGCACCAAGAATTGCAATATTTTCCGCGCTCCTCCGATACCTCTTATAAACTATTACTAGACTGTGTACAATCCTTGGACCTCTCTTGATTTTCTGCATATCTACTTTTACAGTTTTCTTCGATTCTAATAACTATTGCAAGCATTTCAAACAAAATCATGACAGTTTTCTAATGACAAAAACCAACCATCGCTTGCGTGAAAGAATCTAAACTCTCGACTCGCATACTGCACATATTTTGAGATAAAATTATGGATAGTTCATGAACAATATGTAATGTGTCAACGCTGAGAATCGAATATGGCTTCTAATCTAAGTAATAAATTATTCTGATATATTTTTCTCCTTTTACAAGGCTGTAAACCCAAATAAATTTATAATTAACAATTCATTTTTAAACCTTTAATTTCAACCATGATGGAACTTTCTAAAAACAAACTATTTATAAAGTTTTCATTTTCTTAAAAATTTTGAAGAATAAATATGCAACATCTCTCAGAAAAGTAAAGAAAGAAATTACTGCAGCTCAAAGTTTCCTTGCGCCACTCCTTTTAAGAAAGAAAAGTCAAAGGACAAAAATAAAAGCCTTCAAAGTTTAAAAGTTTGGCCAGGAAAGTCAAAGAAGAAAGTTATTGAAGAGTCGGAGACCTTTGTTGTTTAATAAAAAAGGAATGTGAAAAGTTCCTCTTATAAGCCCTGGCATCAAAAAGAATTTCTTCTTTATTTCCACATCGATTTTTTTTCTTGTTTTATTGCTGCTGGATGTGATATAATGGCTAAAATAAAAATATGTTGTAAGACAGCATTAAATTATTAAGATAAACTATACATGTAGTGTATGCACACTTGCACAATATTCTACATAAAGGTAACAGCTTATACTGTAGCAATATTCTTTATGTAGTTATAAGTGAGTAAGGAATAAATATATTATGAAGCATTATATGAAAAAAACTAACTGGAAAATAGTATGATAATATACGTTCCGGAAATTATATTAAACAGCGTATTTTTAATCCTATTTAAAAACTGATATTTATTGCTTTATCTTTATTGTGAAATAATAAAAAATGAGAAAAAGAAGACACAGATTCAAAATAAAGAGATTTGATTTTGTGCTTCATGTAAATAAAGTTAAAACAACCTAAAAACGCATAAATAATGTCACATATGTGACATATGTCGATTTATGTAACGTCATCTATTCTTTTTTAACGTTGTTTAAACTTCTTACGCAATCGATTATAATTGTACACTGAAAAGACATTACATTATGATCACTTTTAGCCCTCAAAAATGCTAGCATCCACCGTGGCATTGATTCCACAAGGTACTGATAGGTAGTCTGAGGTATCTGGTACCAAGCGCTCACCAACTGGTCCTGCGATTCCCTCACATTGCGAGGGGGTAGCATGGCAACACGAATTTGGTTTTCCAAGTAGAACCACAAATGCTCTATTGGATTAAGGTCAGGTGAATTTGGGGGCCAAGACATGATTTGAAAGTCACTGGAATGTTCCTCGACGATTCGACTCTTATGACATGGTGCATTATCCTGTTGGTAAACACCATCCCCGCAGAAACTGCTGCCATGAATGGGTGAACATTGTTCCTGGGCGAGAAACCATGAAAACCTGGGTGAGCCCACTGTTATAGATGGAGGGTGGTCATAATGTAATGGTTCTTCGGTGTATTTTTTCTTCGCTAGTTTTAGTTAATGTTAATTTTAATGGAACCAGTGAAACTTTAAAAGTTACCAATTGATCAAATTACCAGTGAAATTTTAAAAGCTGTTTTACCAGTCAGTTTTCATCTTCTCTCAGTTCATACTATTTTTAATCTCATTTATGATTAGTTTTGATAATATTTACACATTTTTTCTTGAATTAAGTTAAACATATGTTGTAGATCGGAGATTGGTTCCTGATAATTTTATACTCATCTTCTTCATTTATTATTCTTTGCGTTTTGATAATGCTTTCATCTTTTTTCTTAATGATGTTTAGGATATGCTTGTTGAAAATCGTAGATTAGTTCCTGTTATTTTTAATCTAATCTTCCTCAGTTATGGTTCATAAGGTTTTTGATAATGTTTTCACCTTTTTTCCTGAATGAAATAATATGAATGTTGAAAATCGCATATCGGTTTCTGCTAATATTAATTTAATCTCCTTCATTAAGGTTTAAGGACAAGGTTTAATAATGTTTTCTCCTCTTTCCTGAATGAAGTTAAAAATATGCATGCTGAAGTATTCCGATCTATTCTTGCTAATTTCAATTTCATCGTCGTCATTAACCCTTTCGCGCCGACTGTCACAAATACGTGACAGCATGAAACTGTATCAATCAGGATAAAAAGATAAAACTGGTAATCAAAGTAATTCTTTAGCAGTTTATTTGTGGGCGGAGTTATAATTGTTTGATTTATTTAATTCACCATTACTTTGTTCAAAATAAAACTATTTAGTTATACTTTGAACTAACATTGATTATATATATGATTAAACTAACAATAATTAAAGTAAAAGCAAAGTAAGTCTGTCAAATTAGCAACGACTACATTTAAGTTACCGCTTTTTATTTAATTACAACTTGATTCTGATTTTGTACGAATGCTTTTCTGAATCACCCGTCCCCAAGGGGTTAATGATTCATTAAGATTAGATAACGCATTCCTCTTTTTTCCTGGAATGAAGTTCAAAATATATATATTGAAATACGCAGATCGATTCTTGCTAATTTTAATCTAATCTTTGTCATTAATGATTTATCAAGATTTCATAATGTTTTCACCTTTTTTACTGAATGAAGTTTAAAATATGCATGTTGAAGCACGCAGATCGATTCCTGTTCATTTTAATTTCATCTTCCTTACTTGATTTGCCAAGATTTGATAATTTTTTCACCTTTTTTGCTGAATAAAGTTAAAAATGTGTTGAAGATAGCAGATTTTAATGCTTTTTAATATCTGCTATCTTCAACATGCATATTTTAACTTCGTTTTGAAAAGAGAATTTTAAACTGAAAAATAAAGTAAGGTTAATACAGAACATCCTCCATAAACTATTTATTAAATGTAGATTTTTCTTTACTAGAATAAAATATTACAAATTATATAAGCCTACGATGCATTAAAATTACTTTAATATAAAATAAACACTATGTAGTACTAAAGGTGAACAAATCCATAGGCACAACTTGTAATCCTCTCAATCGGTTTGCTCAATCAACTATATAGCAGCTGCTTAACTCGCAACATTTACTTCGAAACATTATTCTGAAGGGTTAACTTTTAAGACACTCTCTGACACTTCTAAATTAAGTTTTAACACTTCCTCTAACATCATTGATTTTTAATTATGCGGAGAAGATATCCAATTCAATCTGCTAGTTTCACTTTGAGCAAACTTTGAATTCTAATGTGTGTGATATCTTCAAATAGGACATTTAGTTAACCTTAGATTAAATGAAACGAGTTTGGAAATAGTTGAGGCCTAATTAAAATATTTGGAGAGCATATATTATCGAGTCACTAATGCTATTTAGAGAATAAGGCAATAATCGGTAAGTTGATGACAATATCGTGTACGCAGATGTTTATACATATTAAACCCGTAAGCCTATTATTCAAATAAGTTTGAGTCGTCTAGTAATTTTCTACTCAGTAAAGTATAAATGCGCATATGTAGTTAAATAATTTAACCAAATAAGTCATCTTATATGAAAATAAGTTCAATTTAATCTGTGGTTAGACAATTTTAAATATTTTTGATAATGAGCACTATTTAAATACAAAAGGAATAATTATTAAGTTGAAGACATTATCATACACATAAATGTTTATGTTAACCGTGCGAGAAATACAATGAAATTGTTAATGTTAAATACAATAAAATTGAAATTAGTAAATCAAAACAATTGACGACCCTCTTCTCTACGGTCCGTGGTAAAATTATCAAACGCAGAGCGGTTAGTGGCAATAAAAAGGTTGGGGAGAACTGCTTGAAGCGAATTGAAAATTTTAAGGAACTGGGCCCATGTCCAAGAGTTCGTGGGTTCGATCCCCGCCGGCCGAATACTTCCCGTGTAGTAAATGGTGACTTATTCACATTAAATATGTCTAGTCACAATGTCCTCTATGTTCCCATAACAAATCAATACCTCTGGGGGTACTGATCCAGGAGATACCTTGTGTTCTGGATTGGTTCAAAATTACAAGGCTACGGAGTACAAGGCATTATCAAAACCCAAAATCGGGTCAGTTGTTCAACGACAGATATAAAATAAAATAAAAAACAAATATAAGAGCGTTGGCGGCTCAGAGGATAGAGCGTTCGCCCTCCAATGAGGTAAGCCGGGTTCGAATCCCAGCGATGCCTGATCTATACGAATTCCGCATCCGGCTNGTGATCCGTCTACCATGGGGATATCTTACGTCAGCACTGTGGTCCATGCGAGCCGGGTGTTGTATCTGTTAGCCATCGCTAGAATTCGAAATCAGTTCACCTCATTTTGATGCTCTATCCCTTGAGCCACCACGGCTCTAAAATAATGGCGACTCGAATCACCAAACTTTCGGTTAAAAATGCTCTACAGTGGACAAATATTCAATCCAAATAATATACTTCATATATTTTTTGACCCTAATTTTTATTGCGCTTAAGTTAAATATTATATACCTTCAGGTGCCCCAGTTAGATTAACGACAAAGTGAATGAAAAAAAAGTACATAGGAAAAGATTAGGAGAGATAGCTTGGTAGAAGAGATTTGAATATTATAGTTTAATATAGAGGCCGGGATAGCCTGGTTGGTAGGGCACTGGGCCCATGTCCAAGAGGTCGTAGATTCGATCACCGCCGGTCGAAGACTCCCCGTGTAATAAATGGTTACTAATGTGCGTTAAATCTGTTGAGACACGAAGTCCACCATGTTCCCTTAACAAATCAATACCTCAGGGGATATTGATCCAGGAGTTTCCTTGTCTTCTGGATTAGTTCAAAATTACAAGGCTACGGAGTTAAACATTAGTAGTCGTAAACTTAAAATCGGGTCGGCTGTTTAACGACAGGTATAAAATAAAATAAAAAGCAATTACGAGAGCCCTGATGGCTCAGGGCCTAGAGCATTCGCCTTCCAATGAGGTAAACCAGGTTCGAATCCCAGCAATGCCTGATCGATACGAATTCCGCATCCAGATTGAACCTACCACAGTGCTGACGTAAATTATTCTCAGTGGCAGATCATGGATTGGAGTCTCCTTGCCGTTAGGCTTACCGTGGGAAGTTTTCATGGTTTTCTTCTCCATGTGACGAAAATGAGGGTCAGTTCCAACAAAACGTCCTAATTTCACCCAATACTTGATCCAAGAGCTCCTTTGTCTTCCGGATTGAGTTCAAAATTACAAGGCAGTGGAGCTATACATTAATAGTCGTAAACCCAAAATATTGGGTCAGCTGTCCAACTCCGTTTATGAAATATTAAATTAAATAAAAACAATTATAAAAGAGCCGTGATGTCTCAAGGAATAGAGAGTTCGCCGCCTTCCAATGGGGTGAACCGGGTATGAATCCCAACGATGGCTGGTCGATAAAGTTTGATAAAGTATGATAAAGTTTGTTAAGATAATTCAATGCAAAATATTATTTCTTATAATTACACTGGGGAACCAATTTTTCCTTGAATTTATACAAATACTTGATCTTTCCCGATTCAGGTACGGAGATTTCATATCTGAAATTAGTTTTGCTCCTAAAACCATCAATTTTAAGGAGTAGT